TCAACCAGGGACAATTTGCCCACTCCCCCAGGGAATGTTTAGCAGTGTCTAGAGACATTTTCGATTGTCATGACTGGGAGGATACTAATGACACCTAGTGAATACATGTCAGGGACATTGTCAAATATTCCACAGTGTTCTCGACAGCTTCATCAACAAAGAATTATCTGGCCTAAAACATCAATAGGGCTGCTGTCAAGAAATCCTGGTCTAGAGTGAACTATTTTTGAACCTTATATTTACTTGGGAGTTAATGTTATTTTCAGAATACATATTTGATCATTTTGAGAGATTATGTTTAGAGTATGAGACTCTGCATCACCAATCACTGGGTGGTGATTGAAGCCAGTGTGATACAAAGAGTTTTTAAGACCCAGAAGAAGTATTAGCCAAATGTAGAGTACTTTTCTGTTGGCTTTCTCATTGTCTATGCTTTAAATAGATGTTTATTCATTAAAAGAAGCTAATGAAGTTCAATATATTTTGAGACAGTCTACTGTGTAATATTTTATCACTAAATTAAAGAGAAGATTTCATGTTTTCACACAGAGCAAGATGAAATATAGTATACTGAAGGAAATGTCCAATTATCTGAACACACAAATGTTAGCTATAATGGGCCTTTTGTGTTTTATTATATCAAGTTGCTACTAGCTCTACCTTATTAAAAGCTTCAATTTTAAAGGCTGAAAGATCAAAAAGAGATAAAAGTATATTAATACTAATTGTTAACCAACCAGTAAGTATTTATTAAGCATCTTCTATGGGCTTGGCAACATATTAATTGAGAATATGGAAACATTAAGATATAATACTATTTTTATTGAGTTGATTTAATCATGAGTTGAGCCTGGGGGGTAGAGGTTGCAGTGGACCAGCTATTTGCACACATTTATCTCACTTAATTTTCACAATTGCCATGAGCTGTAGGTCACCCGATTCCTATTGCATGGATAAGGCAACTGAGGCTCAGAGAGATTGACTTGTTCATCGTCATTCAGCCAGTAAGTGGTAGAGCCATGATTCATTCAAACCCAGGTTAGTCTGACCTCAAAGCTCATTTTTTTTTTTGGTCTTTTTGTTTTTTTCTTTTTTGTGCAGAATGGGGTCTTGTTATATTGCCCAGGCAGGTCTCGAACTCCTGGGCTCAAGCTATCCTCCCGCCTCTGCCTCCCTAAGAGCTGGGATTACAGGCGTGAGCCACAGTGCCCAGCCAAAGCTCATTTTTTTAAATGTACAACTCTCTACGTCCTCCTCAAGAAAGAGGCACTTTCTTGAGCTAGAGCCAAACCAACAACTAAAGGGTGCCTCCAAAATCTGCTCTGTAGTCCTCTATTTGACCAAGCAGCTCTTAATTGGGGGAACTAAGACTGCTGCATGTAAAGCAATACAGTATCACCATCAGGAATATAGGATGACAATAGATTATCTCTAGTCTTTCCCATCCCCCTTCAACCCTGACAGCAGGGGGTGGGAGGGAGGGGAGGGTGGGGAGGGATAACATGGGGAGAAATGCCAGATATAGTATGCACCTAAATTAAAATAAATAAATTAAAAAAAAAAACAATGAGGGCACATCCTTCCTGTTTTTGTACATGATTCTGGGATACAGGGAGTCAAGGCTAGTGTAACCTCTGGAATAATTCCATTACCTCTTCAATTCCAGCTTATTTTGATCTCAGTTTACATTTATGAACCAAAGAAAGTGGTAGGTTCTGTAGGGGAAGAGGACATAGTCATCCCTACTCTCAAGGATACAGAAAACCTCTGGGTCCTATTCTTTTTCTCAGTGCAAGTAGCTATAGACTAACTTTGGGCCTTGTGGTTGTCAGTATTCTTCTAGTTTTGAGTTTCATACTAAAAAGTTTCAACGAAAAAGAAGCATTCTGTTCTCCCAGAGGTAAGCAGAAGCTGCATTACCTGGCATTCTTGTGTTGTGCATTTTACATCCTCTGGCATGTCATGCCTGGGTTGGTCTCTCTACCTTTTCCTGTCTAAGAGCTGCTTGTTTTTTGAGATCTTTCTGCACAGAGTGGTTTCTGGTCACCTCAGCCCATATTGATATCTTTCCTAGAACAATCAGGGGCAGAATCGGCTTTGATTCCTATCTGTGCTGTTTATTGGCTGTGTGTTGTAAGGCAAGTCACTTCACCTCTTTGCGCCTCCATTACCCTGTGGAATGGGGAAAATAATGGTACCTGCCTCAGAAAAGTGCAACTGAACGTCATCACACATGTAAGGCCTGTAACTCAGAGACAGGCGTATAATGATTTAGTAACAGCTAATTATTATCACCATCATCAGCATCATCTTCACGAAATACAAATTTGATTGTCTTATTTTCTGGCTTATGTATCTTCACTGGCTCCCAGTTGCCCACTTGGTCACATTCTAAACTTCTTAACTTGGCATGCAATATCTGCAGGATCTCACCGCATCACCCAGGCTGGAATGCAGTGGTGCTATCATAGCTCACTGCAGTCTCAAACTCCTGGGCTCAGATAATCTTCCCACTGTAGCCTCCCGAGTGCCTAGGAGTACAGGCATAAATGCTGTCTGTAATGCTCCTTTAATTCTCCATCTTATACTTTTAATACTCCAGTCCCTCTGTCACAGTTCTTACTGTTCCCTAAAACTGCCAGGATTTTGAGTGTTTTAGGCCTTTATGGGAACTTTATTTGTCTCTCTGGAATAGCTCTCTCCCATCCTCAAATGTGTCTGAACCCAGCTTTATAGCACTTTTCTCTATGATGCCTTCTTCAAATTCCTGACATTCATTCATTCAGTAAGTACATATTGAATGTCAACTGTGTGCCAGGTTCTGCTGTAGGGACTGGGGTTTTAGCGGTGAGCAAAACTATAAAGGGATAAAAATCCTGATCCTCATGGAGCTTACATTGCTAAGCAGTTAATTTAAATAGTTCAGTTTAACAAATATGCATTGTCCACTTACAATGCACCTAACACTATGCTAATCACTGGGGGCATAAGATTAAGACTTAATCCCTAGCCTCAAGGGTATAGTCTTAAAGAAGACCCCTAAATAGATCATCTCCATGCATGGTGATACAAGCCTAATACAGTGAAGCCCAGGGTTTTGTGAAAGCACAGAGGAGGGCACCTAGCTCACTTGGGGTGAGGGAAAGAGGGAAGGAAAGACTTTTCTAGAGAAAGTGATAGAACTATGCATTGTGTTTTGAGGGAAGACTGAATCTTAAAAGTAGAAGATAAAGTTGACAAATGAGCAAGGTATGACTAACAGATTTCTGTAGATAACTTGGAGTTGCTGGAGTTTAAAATTTAAGGTGTAAACCGGCAGGAACAAGGCCTAAAGAAGTAGGCCATGAGCAGACCCTGAGGGGCCTTATGTGCCAGCACTAAGGAGTTGTCATTACTTATTTTATTTTTTAGAGAAAGAGTCTTACTCTGTCACCCAGGCTTGGCAGGGGTGCCATCATAGCTCACTGTAACCTTGAGCTCCTGGGTACAAGTGATCCTCCCACCTCAGCCTTCAGAGTAGCGAGGACTACAGGCATGTGACACCATGCCCTGTTAATTAATTTTTTTTTGTAGAGACAGGGTCTTGCTATGTTACTTAGGCTGGTCTCAAACTTCTGGCCTCAAGTAATCCTCCCACCTTAGCTTTATAAAACACTGGGGTTGTGGGCATGAGCCAGCACACCGGGGCAGGAGTTGGAATTTTTACTAGCTAAAGCTTGGATGTGCATCAGATTCACTTATGGAAATTATTTAACATCAACTAAAACCAACAAATCTGATGTCCAGGGACTATCCCAGAGCCTCTGGGTCAGAATCCCTGTTGATCTGTATTTCTAATGGCTTAACAGGTTCCTAATACACTCCAGAGCTTGAGTACTTTTGCTACAGGGAAGTTTTTTCTTTTTCTTTCTTTCTTTCTTTCTTTTTTTTTTGAGACAGAGTCTTGCTCTGTCACCCAGGCTCGAGCGCAGTTGCGTGATCTCGGCTCATTGCAACCTCTACCTCCCAGGCTCAAGCGATTCTTCTGCCTCAGCCTCCTGAGTAGTTGGGATTATAGGCACCTGCCACCATGCCCAGCTAATTTTTTGTATTTTTAGTAGAGATGGGGTTTCACTATGTTGGCCAGACTGGTCTCGAACTCCTGACCTCAGGTAATTAGCCCGCCTTGTCCTCCCCAAGTACTGGGATTACAGTTTTGTGCCACCATGCCTGGTCAAGTTTTTAAGTAAGGGTATGACAATCAAATTTTGTGGCTTGGAAACATCAAAATCACACAGGCAGAATAGAGAATGGATTTGAGAGGAAGACTGGAGGTAGGGAGAGAAATCAAGAAACAGTTGGTTAAGTGGGAGATGACGAGGGAGTGGCTTAATATCCCATGGCTGTGGAGATAGATGGATGGAGGAGATGGATTCAAAAGCTATTAAGGAGTTGGAATTTGCAGGACTTGGTAACTGGCAAGATGTGGGTGCAAAAGAGGGAGGAATTAAGGGTGATTTACTGGTCTCTGACTGTGACCTCTACATCATTAGTGATGTGTAATACAGCCACCAACTGAGATTATTCCCTACAAGAACTCCTCTTCTATCCCTCACACTGCCTGGCAAGTACCAGACCCAGAGAAAGTGATTACTGGCTGCAAAATCAAATGTGGCTGAAGGGAGTCAAAGCCCCTAAGACCCCTATCCCCAAATAAAATTTCCCTTTATTATTTTGTGCAATGGCTGAAATTCCAGTTTTAGGACAATCTTTTTCCTACATGTCTTATTCACTGCTGCAAGTTCTGGAGTTTAGTCTTCACAGTGGCTGTGGTAAGACTCTTTAGAGATTTTTTTTGAAATGAGATCTCATTACATTGCTCAGGCTGGCCTCAGCCTCCCCAGTAGCTAGGACTACAGGTGTGCACCACCACACCCCCACCAAAAGATTTGTTTTTGTTGAATAGAAAGTAGTAGACTTTCAAAATATTTCATTTAACTAGTTTCTTTTTCTTTTTTTAGTGTACATATATGACCACATTGGGAAACCTTTAGAAGAAACATACATTGGATACCTCTCCCAGGATCAGACTGTGAGTTCTTTTCATTATAGAATTACAATTAGGGAAGGGAAAGGGAAAAAATGGGTTTCTCTGCTTTTCTTGGACTGCCTCATTCAAGATCCTGTGGTTGGATTTTCTTTTGGTTATGTATCATGATAAAAGGTTCTGAAGCTTAGAAAGAAGCTAAGGCATTTTTAATATTGGTTTAGTGCTTTGTCTGACCTGAAGCAAAATAAAGCAAAGGTATCAAGGTAATAATTCTCCCTGTTTTTGTTTCAGCTCCTGTTTTCTACTCTTAAGTTGTGATGCAAGCAATTCAGTTGTAGAAAAAAATAATTTATTCAGATCCTTTAAGTTGTTTTTGACTTGTGTGGTTCAGCGGCCCTTTGGTTCAGTGGGAGAGGAAGGAGGGAGGGACAGATTAGTGAGGGGGAGCTTTAAAAAATCTTGACTCTCAGGCTGAATCCCAAATCAATTAGAATCTCTGAGGGTGTCACCCAGATAGTAGTATTTAAATCTCCCCAGGTGATTTCAATGTGCAGCCAATGTTGAGGACGACTGCACACTAATCAGATAAACTCCATGTGATCATAACTTTCAAGCCCCAAGCCAGAACATCAATAATAGCTGTCATTTCTTGAGTGCCTACTCTGATAGGCACTCTAATATATCTTGTCCTTTTGCTCTTAGGAAAAGCCTCAGTTGGGTGAGGGTATAATTCCTTTTCATATATGAGAAACAGAGGAGGTAGGTAGCTTGTTCTACATCATATAGCTAAGTGTCTGCTTGACTCCAAAGTCCAGATTCTTTAGCTCAGCTGACTATCAAAATAATGTGAGGGTTGATGGATTTTTGTGTTTTAGGTAGGAGACAATTGCGTATTTTAGGTAAAGCATCAAAATGTTGAGAATTCATAAACATTTCAATGATTTATGGGGAAAATAGGCAGCAAATCAAAATCAGAGATGTTTTAGCTTCCGAGACATGTGTTAGCTATACACCTGCCATCTCCTGAAACTTTGAAGTTGGATTCAGAAAAGGAAGCTTAGAATAAGAATAGGTATTATCATCCCCATTTTTTAGCTGAGAAAACTGAGGCTTGGCAAGATTGTCACTTGCCCAAGATCAGACATCTAGTAAACCAATAGAGTAGATCTGTGTTACTCTATCCCCATGGTCTTAATCATTATACCATACTGATTCCTGATGAGCACTGAAGAGTAGAAGGAAGTGGTATGATGATATATTGGATGGAAAGTTATTCTAAGTTTGGAATCTGGCAAGGAAAAAGCTACTAACCACTGCCTAAAGCTTTCTGCAGTAGACTTTACTAAGATGTTTTTCCAGATGAATTGTCCTGGAGCGCTCCATTAGACTACAGAATTTGGAATTTTCTTTGGTTAAGTCATTGAACCATAATATAATCTGAAAATTGTTTTTAATAATATGAACATCAATGAAATAATCTATTAAAGAAAATTTTGCCCATAATTATATCATCCTGAAATATAAAGGTGCCTTCTTTTATCTATGCTCTGCTCTATCTGGTCCATATATTTATGCTTATATTATGTTCACACTTGTATGATACCTAGGAATCATTTAAGGTCTTTTATCACCTGACACTGTATTATAAAGATTGCCTCATGCTGCTAGGTAGTCTTTGTATTAGTCATTTTTGTATTATTTCATTGAGCACTTGGGCCATAATTTAGCTAGTTGCCTATTTTGGGGGCATTTGGTTTGTTTTTAATTTCCAATGTTATAACTCATAGTATTATAATCACTATTTTGCATGTAATTTTTTTCTAACATGGGGCCATTTCTTTAAGATAAATCTTTTCAAATGAGGTGTTTTCTCATTTATTCATTTACTTATTGAGACAGGGCTTGCTATGTTGCCCAGGTTACATTTGAATTCGTGGGCTCAAGCGATCTCCTGTCACAGCCTCTTCAGCTGGGACCACAGGCACGTGCCACTGCACCTGGCTCCAAGATGTTTTTGGAGCTTAAATAAAACTTAAGGCCGGGTGCAGTGGCTCACGGCTGTAATCCCAGTATGTGGGGAGGCCAAGGTGGGAAGATCACTTGAGGTCAGGAGTTTGAGACCAGCCTGGCCAACATGGCAAAACCCCATCTCTACAAAAAATACAAAAATTAGCCGGGCATGGTGGCAGACTCCTGTAATTTCAGCTACTTGGGAGGCTGAGGCAGGAGAATTGCTTCAACCTTGGAGGTGGAGATTTCAGTGAGCCAAGATGGCAACCCTGCACTCCTGCCTGGGCGACAGAGTAAGACTGTCTCAAAAAAAAGTTTAATAAAGTTTTTAAAGTTTAATAATACAAAACTTCCATTTATAAAACTAATATGTGCTCTCTATATGCAAATAAATAAGATTATTCCCCCCTTTGGCTATGTGTAGTGATAATGGTTATTTACATTTTGTAAACTGAAGCAAGTTACAGGAAGTTTTTTGTATCAGAAACTAGGCTTGGACCTCTTTGTATTCTTTTTGAAATGGGGAAGTTGTTAAGCTACTCATTTTTGTTTTCTTGCTTTGGTTAGAGACCTGCAGAATTCAATCAGATGGACTCTCACACTAGTTTGCAGGCGACTGTCTCTGGCTCTGTTGCTCATCCTGTTTGCTCAGTAAGAGAGCCTGGTGGTTTTCATTTAATAAATGTACAAATCTTGAGAGTTGGAGAATCAGTAGCCTACCTCAAAAACTGACATGTTTTGTGTTTTTGAGAAAGCTGCTTTCATTGCTATGACGTCTGGCTAACAAAGATCTTTTTCATTTTGTTTCAGGGACGGTTGGATTTTTTTCCTGTTTCTGGTTTATTACTAAAATCTACAGTGTGCTGAAGGTGGAGTAAAGTATTTTCCCGAAGGATTCCAAGCACATCTCCCTTGCTCTTGAGTATCTGTATATCTATATGAACATCAATGAAGATACATATGTGTGCCCCTAATTACATAAATTTTAAGCACGTATAAATGTAAAATCTCATTGTCTGACCTCAGTTTATATGACGCAAAATACTGATTGTGTGGAAGAAAACAGGTTGGGAAACAGATTTATTCAACATCATGTTTTCCTGGTAAGATACCATAAAATGTTTTAAATTAAAGCAATTCGAGCAAGGGAGGCACATTTCTTTAAAAAATTAAAGTTGAATACCACACTGGTTTTTCAGATGAAGTTTTCTTTTTTTTTTCCTTTTTTTCCTCCATATTGTTCAGAGAATCTAATTCCATCAGAACTACTGTCAAATAAATTTTATGTAAAATGTATATTTTTCTAATGGGAGTTGATTATACAAGCTGTATTACACCTTTGTATCTGGGTGATCATTTAAAAATGCATATTGGTTTAGCACATAGAGTTCATGAAATGCCAGGTAATGCTCTTATTCCTCAGTGAAATCTGTACATTTCTAGTTGTTGGTTGTCTATCTCTGTTTGTTCCTTGGGGGGCTGAGAATGTTCAAGTTTGACTTACTTGTGTTTAAATTTTCTGGGGTTTATTTGCTCTGCCTAAACAATAGTCAGGTATCACATCTCCCAAAATGTTGGGAATTTGTGTTGCAAATATTCTTTGAGCTTGTAGTTTTGGGGAGCAGTCATGAAAATCATATATTTTAGATATCATATTGTATTGATAAGTGTGGATCTCATTTAAGAAAGTGTTTGAAAAATGTCTACAGATACCCTTCAATTAAGGAATATTCTCAAAGCCATCCTTAAGCGGAGGAGTACTTGTTTGTGTGTGCAGGGATCAAAGAGTTTGTGTTGCCCTTGGATGGGAGATTGGAATGAGGAGGAACAGGGTCAGAGAGTTGCATTCTGAAAGAGAGTGAAAGGAGGAGAAGGAGTTGACTAGTTACCTCATGGAAGAAGAAAATAATTCACTAGCCAATAATGTGTCTGTATTGGAAGGGTCAGGGCTACGACTGGTGGCAAATGGATCTGGGGCTTAGAGCAGTCTGGTGGGGGAGGTAGTGACTACAGAAGGTTTCTTGACAGTGGAATTTTCACCTCCTCTCAACCCTCTCCCATTCAATCTCATAACTTAGGGCTGAGCCCTTAGCCCAGCTTGGGAGGAGAAACTGCTGTTATGAGGTCCATTGGAACCAGTTCTATTCTCCTCTAAATACTCTGAACTAAGTTGTGGTATATTGAGCTTCAGGGACCGCTTTTCCCACCAGGTTGACTGCCAGATTGTTTTATCTGAGCTCCCAAGCCTGCTTATTTGCATTGATGGTAGTAGTTTGCTAGAAAGGCACATTTATTTCTGCAGCAGGAAAATGTCATTGCCTAGATGGCATTCATAGATTAAGGTGAAGGCAGACACCTGCAGGTCTCATGGCAGCCATCTTTGAACATCTTGAAATAGTAAGTCAGCATTTAGCTTGATTTTGGAGTGAAAAATGGAGAAGAGCAGTTGACTTTTATTGCAATGGGGCTGAATAGCTCCCTAAGCCTCCCAGTGTGGGCCCACAAATACCACTTTGGAGGCAGGAGACATACAGTTCCTTGCACTGCTTCCAATGAGAGTATCAGAAGAGGAGCTACTAGTAGGTCAAGTAGTTTGACTCAATAGGTATTAGGGGCTCTTACGTTTTAGACATATTTGCCTATCTCATTTGTGTACAGTTGTTTCACATCTAATGGTTGCAATAGAGGTATAACCATTTTCTGAAAGGAGAGCTTAAGGGAACGTACCCTTGCCCTCCTGTTCTATAAACTCTGATGAGTTGCGGCTGAACTGAGGTGGGTGTGGGAACTAGGCCAGGGTGGGCTGAGTTGTATGGAGGGAAGTGGCCTGGGCCAGAGTGGTAGGGTAGCAGGGGCTAGGGCCCAGTGGTTACTCACTGTCCTCCCGCCAACCCCTGCCCCTAGACTGCAATGTCTTTGGAATAAAGTTGGGCATTTGAGAGCCCCAGAAACCATCTGGCCCCAGATTTTCTCTCTGATCACCCCCTCCCTCCTTTTGAAATGCTTTTCATTCATAGAGGATCAGGTTTATGCTCTTCCAGCAAGCCCTTTCTGCTGACCGTCCCCTCCATCCCCTGCATATTCCTTATATTAGAATACTGGAATATGAAATATTGGAGTCCATATATTTCATTTTACTTTGTAATGTAGTTAGTTGTCATCCCCTGTCTCCTCCATTCAAGCAAAAGAAAAGGGATGGAGACCACGGTATGTGTCTCCCTCACCACTGTTTCCTGAAGGATCTTGTCATAAAAATCAGATGCACACATAAAATTTGACTTTATTTAGCATATTTAAGAGGAACATAACAAGGACAGATTAACAGCACCTATTTAAGAAACACAAATATCACTTAATAATACTTAGTTAAGTCACAAACATCAATCTCTCCACATTCCCCAAGTAGGAGTCCGTTATTCCTTTCCAGCAAAAGAAAAACAAAAAGTATTGTAACCATTTTAGAAAAGATCCAATTAAAGCCAACAAATATGTGAAACTTTGGCCTTGGGCAGAGTCTCTGGGACTACTGGCCCAGGTAACAGTGTTGATTTGTGAATTTGATTGCTTGTGAGTGGGGTTCTCTTCTTGCTGAGGGGAGGAGGATAAAGCCTGCCCCTTCTGGGCACTTGAATGTAAGTTGTGCCAGTGGGAACTTGGCCCCAGGACTGTAGTTTGAGAATCCTTTGAAAAGGCACTTTTCAATTACAAATTCTTTTTTAAAAGAAAAATGAAACTTTTAAATTCAAGCTTTAAAATATTAAAGAGAACTGTTTACTGATTAAATACATTTTTCTGTTTTCAGTTTCAAAGCAGCACACAAAATTTGATATTAAAGGCAGTTTTAGAAATAATTTAATGAGGGTATATATATAGTTTTTTTAGTTGTAACATTTTGTTCTGAAAATATAACAAAATCATCTTATAGTTTTCTTTTCTTATCTGACACAAATCCCATTGACATACTACTGTAACTATCAAATACTGTAGCTGTGACCCCATAGAGGAGTCCCACTACCTCTCTATGTAGTTAGCCATCCATGCTCACTCTATCTTATCTCTCAGACAACCAATGAAAGGGGAAAAAACAGCAGCCTTTTTCTGAGTTTTGTTACTGCTCTAGGAGGGCATGGATGGTAGCATTATGGATCTGCCAAGTGCAAATCCTGTCAATTCATGGTCAGGTGTCCGCTGGGTCTTCAGGGTGCAGTATTCTTTTCGTCCGGCTAACTGGACTCCACTTGCATATCCTGGAGTCCTTCCTTTTTAATGGAGAACGATGGTCTTCTTTGAATTTGCATTCTATATATTCAGTGAATAGAAAACAGCATACAGGTGCCAAGTGTGTTGTGGAAAACTGTCAGCAAGGACTTCAGCCAAGATGATTAGTTCACACTAATGACCAATTGTACCAATAACTTCTCACCTGTCATATATCATATCAAGGATTTAAGGAATGAAAGTCATCAATTCCTGCCACCCCACTTTGGTGCCATTTTACATATCCTGTAGTATATAATTTAAAAATAAATTTAAAAAACAAATGTACTATGTTCTACATCAGAAACTGACCAAGGTGTAGGTCATACATAGAATTTTGCATGCATTTTATTAACTAACTTTACATATACATACTACCCATTTTTGAGGACGACACTATCTACAAACACTACAATCTAATATCTAGCACCATATCTCCAAGAACACTTACATTTTATATACAGTTATAGTTTACATTTAGGAGAATTACTACAAAAAATACTACACCACTAAAACAAGATGAAAATACCAAACTTTTAACATTAAGTTGTAGCACAGATGAAGGGCGGGGGGGGTGGAGGGGAAATCCACTCACGTCTGAAACACCAAACTAAATCCGATCTTGTTTTTCTCTGCATTTTAGAACAAGACAGGTAGAGTAATTATTTCTCAGACATAGTAAACCTCCTGCTGAGTGGACAAGTCACTGTGGTTTTCCCTTGGTGTGTGTACTCTGAGATATGCAGGCTTTGGGAGGCAATGATGGAAATGCTTGACACCTATTAGCAACCTTCGTTTACCTTGAGGATTCTTATTTTATTTACCAAAGAGCAGTGAACTTGTTAGTGACCTGGCTATCAGTGGCCAGGTTCAGCGGATTTTAGCTTTCCTGTCTACTCCTATTTCAGTGGATTTAAGCTTTCCTGTTTCTTCCTCCAGCCAGTTTTGTTGCTTATGGCAAAAAACTGCTGTAAGCTAGCTGGGCATTTGCTGTAGAGGAAGAGATTATTGCTAAGTAATTGGAAAGATTTTATGACAAGGATTTCCCTTCTTTTTGGATTTTAGGCTATCGCATCTGCTGTTTCCAGCTCATTGCTTCTGTCTCCTCATGCCTAAGCTTAGTGGGGCTTTAAGGGGTCGAGAACACTAGTCCAGCCCATAGAAAGTAAGAGAAAGAGGTAAGGAGGGAGAGGGTTAAAAGTCATCGACTGGCCAGATTTTCTCTCCTTATCTTGGACACTGGCTAGCAGCCAAGCGTTCCTGTAATCTTTTGTCTGTTCTAGAAGGAAATGGCATTTTGCTTAGAGAAACCGCTCCTGACAGCATGAGGTCTGTCTTATAGAGGAATACAACAGAAAAGACATTATGAGAGGAAAACACTATTTTTCTTCCTCAAAAGATTGGGCAAGTTGGTTGTGAGAGAAAAATACCATCCAGGAGTTTAAATTGTTTCATCCCAATGACTCGTGAGGATTTTATCTTGAGTTCAAATTACCAGATGATGCATTTTTTTTCTTCCAAATGATGTATTTTAGACAGTTTTAAGAGCTTTTTGGCAAAGTTTAAGTCAGCCTAGTTTAATCTTGTAAATTATTCTTTAGGTAGTATGAACAAATCTTTTTGAAGTAACTTTACCTAGCTTAATTGGCTAATTATGTATAAAATAATGCAATGTTGCAGGCCCTATACCTTAACTATTGTGCTAACAGGAAAAAAAACAAGGCAATGTTGGGCACCTTATAATTTTGTAGGTAAAAGATTTTTTAGTGTTTTTTTTTTTTTGCTGAAATAATTGGACAGTATTGACAGGATTGACTATTCCTCCAGTGATGTGTAATATCGAGTGCTTTTTTGGTAAAAAATGAGCTGTCTACCTTCTCCATAATAATAAATGGCACTTTTCCTTACCTCTTGAATTTGAAGTAGGTATCCCGTCATCTCTAAATTATATTGGAGTTGGGTAGGAGACAGAAAAATACCTTTAATTGCTGGTCACTCCTATGGCTCACTTCTCTCCTTCCCTGCTTCCATAGGCCCACAGGTCCCTGTGAATCTGTCAGCTCTGGGTTGGGAAGGGATGGATGGGGGGTAGGTGAATACACAGAACTTCAAGCATGGACTGTTCCTGAAGGGCCGGTGTAGCAGAGGGAGAGGGAGTGAGGCGGGTGAAGGCAGTGGGCTGACGGCAAGAGGTAGGCAGGGAGCTGAAAGTGCAGAGGCCTTTCAAGCAGCTGCTACTTGTAGTGTGCCAGAGAAGCGGGACCCTAGCATCATAGAAGTCACAGAAGCCCAGGGCTCGCTCCCTATTACTGCCTTCCCAAGCTTGTAGAAATTGGTGTGTTAGTCAAAGCACCTGCGACTTCTTGGCAAACTAGATGCTCTATTATACTTAAATAAGGAAAATCATTAAATTTAAAATCACATCATTTCATAGACTGGTTTGTCTGGCCCCTGTACTTTAATGGGATTTTTTTTTACTGCACATATGAAGTGGCTTTGGCAAAAGAATACATCCCTTAAAAACATTTAGGGAAAGCTATTGCATATGAGGTTCTTTGAGGCTAATGATGACTTTTTTGCGTGTGCTTTCAGATTTTCAAATGACAAAATAGTGTGTGCAGTAAAACCTCATTAAAGTGATAGTGCTTTACTCAAAATAGCAAAAAATTTCAAGTACTTGCTATCTCCAAGTTAACCAGAGGCCTTATTGTTCATTAAGAAGAATATGTCATCAAAGCAGGATGCTCTTAATTAAAAGGTCCTCTTTTCCAGGTTCATATTTTCAAAACGTCTTTACTTTTGAGGAATTCAATTTACCAAAATAATGGACAACGACTAAAATAAGGAAAAGAGGAACTTCAAAAAGGAAAGCAGGGTAGTAAGGAATCTCGGTGCCCTTGAGAATGTTGTGTGTGCTGTTAAATGGACTTACCATACTCGTACAGGTTCTGGTTCCATTTTGATTTGGGATTTTGGCAAACAATTTTCTCTGATACACTTTGAAGGGGTCAGCTTTAAAAATAAAATAAGAGGTTCAGTTTCAACACAATATTTGGAAACACACTTATGTTTGAAGTCCTGTTTCTTACCCAAGTAAACATTTCTACTCAAAGGATAGGCTACAGCTACCTTGAACTCCTTTGACCATTTGAACAGATCTTAAGGCACTACCCCTCCCCCATAGAAGGATTGATCACATAGGCCATTTATTCACCCAGATATCCTTTAAGGACAGGTAAGTACAAGAGTTTGGCGATAAATTAGTAGAACAAATTTATAACTGTTAATTCACTTTATGCATTTTGGTAGAAAAATAAATGATAGTGTCAGGGTAAACTTCAGCCCCCATGCCTTGTCTGAATAACTACAAGTTTCAAATTAATGGAGTTGAAATTAATAATGTTATCGTGGTATTTTTATTTGATGAGTCATCTCTATGTTATTTGGTTCTATTCCCTCTGCTTTCCTAAATTCTGAACATGGCAATCCCAAATTCCATGCAGAGTTAGTCTCAGTCCTAATACATTGCTGTTTACCTCTCCCCCTTGAGAAGCTCATGTTGAAATCTGTGAGGAGGAAGAGATAAAAGAATATAAATGAGCTGGGCATTTATTTAAATGAAACTTGAGTTCTAATAAAGGCACGGCAATCACACAAGAATCAGGCTAAACTCTGAAGATGATCATTTTACATCATGCAACTACCTGATTAACCATTTTCAACCAAAAACTCCCTCCATCCATATTAACAGTGGGTTTCTACATGAACAGTTGATTGGCTTTAGAGTTGCTTTAACTTGTTCTATAGGAGGATCAAAACACTGGCTTGACTGTTTTTTTGGTTCCATGTTACTTGGTTATATAGATATGGCCATGCCCTCAGATATATATACATACATCCTTGCCCATAGTGATTTTGGGTTTTGGGATTTGAGAGATTTTCCTGTAAATTGACCCTAGGGATAATTTAGATATTGTAAAAGTTTTTCCAAAGTGATACATTTCAACAGCAATAATTAGCATACGTCTGACCTGAATGCTTTGATTTAAGGACTGTTTGGAATAGGTCAGCTGTTTTCCAGGTATTATGAAACCATCGTCTTTGTCATTTCTGACTCTCTGATATTTCTCTCTCACATCTGCAGAGAACTTAAAAGCTTTAAAAAGAGCCACAGGTGGAAAAGACTCATGGGTGTGCCTGGAGGAAGAAAACTGTTCATTCTGCCTTCCTTACTCCCCATATGGAGATCATATTTACTAACTATGATCTCACGTTGAATTTCCTTTTTTCTATAAATACTGTTTGACTAAAAAAGACTTTAGTCTAAAAAGACTAAAAAAAACAAACCAAAAGAAAACAAATGCTGGCAGAGATCTGAAGATTTCTTACCATCATCTCAATTCAGTCACATAAGGAAGTTGTAAAATAGTGGCATGATTTCCGCCCTGCTATCATTCAACACAAGACAGAAAATATTTGTGTCAATTGACAATTTTCCATTTGCACTTAATGACCTCAGTCCCAGCCCATGCATAAACCCAAGATTTTATAGGAAAACCCCCCCCCGGATATGTGTTATTTCTCCATCTTTTCCCTTGGACTAGCTTCCCATTTCATACATGCCCTTCTACTTTTCTGGATCTCTTTAGGGGATCTAGAAACCTTCTTGAGATTTTAACTGCACAAGGTCTTTTGTTTTAGTTTGCATAACAGTCTTTGCACCCAACTGTGGGGCTGTTCAGTTCCGAATTTGGCTTATATGTTGATCAGTCCATTAGGTTCTGTTTCTTGGGCTTCATGAATGATTTGGTCCATCACCTTTCTTTCAGTTGAACGTAAGCTGTAGCCCTAGCCCAAGGGCCAAAAAGTCCTTAAGTTCACAGGCATCAACTTCCCTTTCCCTCAGAGATAAAGTTAGCGTGTTGTAGCTCTGGAAAGACAGAATACCAAGTACACGTCCAAAATGGGCAGCACTTGCTGCTTTAAGAAATTTGGAGCCTAATAATCTTTGGGAGAAAAACTTAAGTCAGAATCCTCAAGTTCATGCTTTTAAGGAAAGACCCCAGTTCCTGCCTCTTCCATGTGTTTATCTACCTTGTGGTGAAGAGCATGTGTGCAACACCTTTGCCTGAAATGGTATGGTTTGGCATTAATGGATTGTGGGTCCATTGAAAAGAAAGCTGCTCTTATGGACAGTTCAAGGTTTGCCTTAGAACTACTTCAAGGAGAAGTAGCAGAATCGTGGGAAGGGACGAACTTGCCTTCAGTCCCAGCTTCGGTTCCAGGCAGGTCTGGGCGGCTATCTTCTTTTGGGGGCTTTTTCTTGCAGAATAACTTGTTCAGCACATCCTTGAATTCCTTCTTAATGGTCTTGTGCATGTAGCCATAGATGTAGGGGTGGATGCAGCACTGCAGGAAGAAAAGCCAGATTATTATGGTGATCACCCACTGGGGTACCTTGGTTTCGACATCCACCCACAGGGCCAGGACTGCTAAAAGGCAGTAGGGCCCCAGGGATATCACGTAGGAGAAAATGATGATGAAGATCACTTTAGCAGCTTTGCACTGGTAGCATCTGGGCAGAGGAGGGTCACTGTTGCTGTTACGACGGCTGGGTGGGAGGCTCTCGGGGAGGTGCACTGCCTCGACGTCATCCTCACTGAAATTGATGTAGTCTTCACCAAACTCCATGTCATCTTCACCTAAGTCAATGCTGCACTGGTTGACCTCTGTGCGACCCTTGTCTGCCTTCATGCTTTTCCCCTCAGCTTTGGTGCCGCCTTCCTTACCCTCCAGGCTGCCGTTGCTGGCCACCATGCTGCTCTCTCTGACCTCCTTGCTGCCCCTGGCCCTCACACTACCCTCACTAGTCACTGTGCTTCCTTCCTTGGCCTTCAGGCTGCTGTCCTTGGCTTCCATGCTGCCCTCCTTGGCCTTGACCTCACCTTCATCCTGGAGGTGAAACTCAGTTTTACCCCGGAACTTCTTCTTCTTCTTTGCTCCCTCTTCATCCCCATTCTCCACACATTCCTTGGCTCGCACCTCCAAGTTGTGGCTCTTGGCATTGTACAGCAGAGCATGCTGCCTCCGTGCTGCACCGAACACTACCGAGTAGCAGGCAATCATGACAATCAGTGGAATGACCATAAAGAACACCACGCTGAGAATAGCGTAGCTGGGGCTGGACCCCCAGATCATGGAGCAGAGGGCATTGCGCTCATCAAAGGCAGCCTGGCCCCAGCCGTAGAGTGGAGGGGTGCTCTGCAGGATGGCCACAATCCAGGTGCCGTAGAGGAGCCTGTAACCACGGCGCTGGGTCATCTTGGATGGGTAGGAGAGAGGGTGGATGATGGACAGGTAGCGATCTATTGACACCACGACAATGGTGTTGACACTGGCGAAGGCGAACAGGTGGGTGAGGCTAACCAGGGCGGTGCAGAAGTGGCTGTTGAGGGGCCAGAAGAGAGGCACAGAGGTGGCCACCACCCAGGGGGCCACGAGCAAAACCTGCAGCAGGTCGGTGACCAGGAGGTTAAAGATAAAACGGTTGGTGACCTGCAGCAGCTGCGGCTTGCGCTGCAACACTACCGCCAGCACTATGTTGCCGACGAAAGAGGCGACGAGGAAGATAAGCAGCACGACTGAGCGGATGATGCCGTGAGCCAGGCTGATGGGCATTTTGGAGAGGGGCATGCACGTGTGGCTGCTGTTACTCTCGCGCGTGCTGTTGGTGCAGGCGGACGTCATGGCAACAGCCAGAGGGTGTGAGACAGGGTGCAGGCTCAGCTCGGGCACCCGTGGGCGGCAAAGGGGTGCACAGACCGCACTCAGTGCCTGTGCTGGGGACAAAAGAAACACGCAGGCGGAGTTAGTCACCCGCCAAGGGGAGAAGCCTCCGCTCCTCGCAACGGCGCTGCAGGACCCCCTCCCCCGGATTCCCGCACGGCCCCATCCCCAGTACGGGCAGCTTCTATGGCTCCTTTTCGGACTCTCCAGATCTGTCTGCCTGTCTCTCTCCAGGGCTCTGATTTCCTCTCATCTGTTTCTCCTGCCGGCGCGAGCGTGCGCGCGTTTTCTTTGCTTGTCTCTCACACTGTCTCTGGCTCTCGGGAGTTTCGGTCTCTCCCGCTAGCGCATGCGCGTGCGCTCTGTTTCTGTCTGTTTACGACCGTCAGTTTCTGTCTCTCTCCAGTGCCTCCCGCTAACGCACTTTTTTTCTGTATCTCTCGGGGTGTGTGTCTGTATATGTCTCACCGTTTCCTGATTCTTTCTCATCCCTGTTTCTCATGTCTGCCTCTGTTTCTCCGTCTCTTGATAGCACGTGCACACTGTCTCTCTTTCCTGTCTGTTACTCCCATTTCTCTCTTCCACTCCCTCTTTGTCTCTCAGTCTCCCTGTATTTGTCTCTTTCGCTAGCGCACTTTCTCTGCAGGGCGCGCGCTCTCGGTCCCTATCTTTCTCCCAATCCTGCCCCCGTCTCTCCCTCAGTCTCTTTCCGATCCGTTCTGTCTCTCTGTGTCTCTGCTTGTCACTGTGTCGCTCGCTAGTGAGTGTGCGTCTCTGTCTTTCCCTAATGCTCTCTTGTCTCTCCATTTCTCTCTATTTCCCCAACAGTTCATCTTTGTTGATCCCTAGCGCACCTGTTCAATGTCGCTCGCTGTGTCTCTGCCAGTCTCCGTGTCTCTCCAACTCTCTTGTTTTCTGCCTCCCTCGGGTTCTCTAGGCGTCTCCTTTCTCTCACTGGCACGTATGCGCTTGCTCTGCCTTTCTCGGACCCGCTTGTCTCTGTGTCTCTCCCTGTGGTTTCTATCTCTCCCTGCCCAAGTTCTCTCTGCATTGCTCTGACTGTCTCTTTCTCCATTGCTCTCTAACACTCTGCTGTTTGTCTCACCTGTCTCTCAAGCTTTTTAGTATGTACACTTTCTAGTTGGTTTCTCTGTCCTTCACTTTCTTGTCACCCCAGGACTCTGGCTAAACACTTTCTTTATATCTTTGAGCGTGTGCGCACCTCTGTTTCTCTACATCTTTTTTTCCCACCGCCCCTCACTTCGGTTTTTCTCTGGCTGGATCTCTGTCTTTTTGGATCTCTGTCTCTCTGTGGACTTTATTTTGCCACGGAAACCACCTGCCTCCCTGGCCACTGCGGGCTTTGGCTAATAAAACCCCTATTTTCTCAGCAGCGCAATGGCGACTGGAAAATGCAGGGAGGATGCCTATTGAGCTCCCCTACCCTCACCGCCCCATCCCAATTCGGCATCCTTCTTGCTTTCTCTAGTCTGCGTGGTCTTGGGGAAGGCAGCCAAGGGGAGTAGGAGAGGAGTTGGGGAGAACGGGAAAAAGGGCAAGGGTGCAGGGTGGTCGGGAGAGTCTGAGAGAGATAGGATGAGAAATATTAAGAGGCAGAGAGACAGAAAACGAGAGACAGCGAAAGAATGAGATGCATACAGAGAGAGAGAAAGTGAGCAACAGAGAGGGAGAGAGACATAAACAAAAAAGAACAAATGAGAGAGTGAGAGAGAGAATGAGAGAGCAAGACTGAGAGGCTGGGAGAGACGCAGACAGAAAAAACAAAAAAGAGAATAAGAAAAGAGAACAAGCAGAGGAAAAGGGAATGGAAGAGAAAAAACCAAGAGAATGGAGAGGGAGGGAGGAAAAGAACGCACGAGAAAAAGTGCGAGGGAAAACGTGAGGGCAGGAGGTTGGCCAGGGAAAGGTGAGAAGGGGCTGCACCGCGGGCTACCGCTCGGGTTAGCTCAGCAACCGTCGGGTGGCTGCAACCCGACGTCGTGGGCTCCCAGGCTGAGGGCCCAGCCGGGTGCTGGGGACCACGGCGCCCGGAGTAGGGCCGGGCCGCTTACCTGTTGCTGCTGCGGACGTCGCGTCGCGGGCGCTGCGTGCCAGTCCTTCGGGGCTCCTCGCGCTCGTCCCGGCCGCCTTTTTGGGCGCGGGCGGCTGCGAGCTGGCACCGGGCAGCTGGCGCTGCGGGCGCGGCGGGAGCGGGGCACAGCGTCTGTGCCCGCACGTCCGGCCGGCGCGCCGCGCTGCAAGCTCTGAGAGGCAGCGGGGGCGCGCGGCGTCTTAAGGCAGCGCGGTGCCCTCACCTTGCGGTGCCGCCCTCCCCTCGGCCCCCGCCCGCGCCGGTGACGCACAAGGCCGCGGCGGCCCAGGGGAGCGGAGCTGGCGGGTGGGGGACCCTGCACCAGATCCCACTCAGATTTTTCACTGCGGGTTCCCACCCCAGGGGCCCTGAGCTCACCGAGACCCCGCAGACTGGGGATTGTCACCGGGGCTGATTTTCGTGCAAACCCATTGGCCTCCTAGCCCCCGGATTTCGGGCCGGGTCCCAGGCACAGACCCTGCAGGGTCCTTCCAAATAGGAGGGCCCGGGGCTCTCCTAGACTTCTGAAAACCCTCCAAAGTATGAATAGCCCCTGAGCCCGAGAAAGCAATTGTGACTTTAATGTCAACGATTTCCCACGAATTTCTCTAGCTTCCAGGAAAAGCTAAGCGGCAATACTTTCCCTGTAGGATTTGGAAGCATTTCACTTAAGACAAGCCGCATAATTACCCACTATATTCTTTGATAGAAATATGTCTGTCTGTAAGTCAGTCATCATCTCTCCCTCTCTCTCTCCCCCTCCCTCTGCCAGGTACCGTGTTAAGCTGTTTACGCAGAGAATACCGCTGAATCGTTATCCCAGGCTTGTGAGATAAGTACCGCTATTATCTTCATTTTATAGAGACAGCAGCAGAAGCCAAGAAAGATTACCCTACTTGCCTAAGTTCAAGTAAATATTGCACACGTTCTATTAACCAAGATGTTCTGGTCTCTCCTAAACACATATTGGGTATTTATTGTGTATCAGGCCTGAGGAGGCACCCTCTTCCCTGCCCCCAGAGGGTAAAGAAGGAGTCCAAAACCAGGGATCATTTGCATTAGGTTTTCAAGGGATTGGGAAGTCTTTTCCACGCAGGGCACAAAGGTACTCTGTAAGAAGATGCATGGGGCAAAACTAGGTCTGCAAGAGAGAGGTGGGTTCCAAAGGCTGGGAAAACGGAGGCTGCAGAATGGTGAGCGCCAGGAGGTGAGCTGGTTAAATTAGGCACGGGCAGATCCTGAGGGGTCTTAAATGTCAGTCTGCAGACTTCGGACTTTACCCTGAGATCCCTGGAGGCCCTTGGAGAGTCGTTTTATCATGAACAATTTCAAGCATACACATGTAATGAGAATAATAAAATAATCCTCCATGTTACCATTACCCAGACTTCACAAGGATAAATAATTTGCCATTTTTGTTCATTGGTGGGTTTTAGGTAGGGCGATGTTCTAGAATCAGGGCTAATGTGGGATGGAGAAAGCTGAAGGGAGGCTGTGGCAGAAGACAGGGAGAGTCTTGACAGGTTCCACAGAGTGGAGCAAGCAGAGACCTAGAGAGAGGCCACATTGACAGTGGAAGAGAATAAGGGCAAGGAGGTGGTGGGGAGGGTCTAGACTGAGCACCGGGTTTGGAGTTGGTTGAGGGGCTGGATGGAGATCCCTCCTCCCCTTCTTATCACATGCCTCGGGGGGGACAGGGAGATGAGACAGGTGTATAATCGGCCTCAGAATGCTCTTTGGATCTGGAGTTCTGCATTTGCTCTTAGATCATTTGTCTTTTTTCTGCTAGGCCTGATTTTATCTCCCCAAGGTTGAATGGTAAAAATCTGGTCATTTTTCCTAGAGACAGTTTCCATGATAATCACTCATGGTTATTAATTCCTAGCTTCGTGCTAGCCATGGTACAGAATCCTGGGTGGCATGCACTGTCAAGCAGCAGTTTGTTCAGACTCAATGATTTTACAATCACTTGGGAGGCAGTGAAGCTGTTAGAAGTGGCCAGAGACAAAGGCCAGTCTTTCTTGACCTTTCCTATTTTTACTGTGATTGTGAGCATGCCTGGGACTGCTGGGTTCCAGCAGGGGACAGGGAGAAAACCTCTAGACACATGTTAAAGATGGGTGCCTCAGAGGGATGGGCTCATGGAGTCTACAGCTGCTCTTTTGGGCACTAAGAGGGATGATAGGGAGTGGAAGAGGTTGGGTGGGATGAGGCCTCTGCAGCTGAGATCAGCCTGCCTGCCGGAGATAGTAAAAATGCCAGGGAATTGTTAGGAAATAAATGCCAGCTACTTTTCTGTACAGGGAGATGTTCGAAGGTGGTTAATCCTCAGGTTTCTTCTCTTTCCCTCCAGATGTGAGCATAGTAGGTATCCTTGGATTTCAAAGACATCCAAATATCAGCTCCCCAACTGGAAGTATGTGGCAGAACTTTGGGGAATGTGGATTTGGCTTCCAGCCCTGCAGGCTCTGATTCTGATAGCCTTGAAGGAGCCCTTCAACTGACAAGCATCATTACATTCTGGGAAGAATCTTTGGGATGAAACAGCGAGAGTTTGGGATGATGGCTTAAGAAGTCACCTGGTCTATTTCCCTACCTTCATAATTCAGTAGCAGCAGAAGTATGATCAAGGTGATGATATTAATGGACCAGGCCTAGAGGGCAAGAAGCTACCAACAAGAAAGGGCCCAAGGGCCCTATGACAATCACAAGTTGCAACACTGGTCAGCAGTATGCTGGCCTCAGACTTGTTCACCTTGTGAGACCAGTTGCCCTGATCGTTGTATCAATAGCTAGATGAGGGAAGTTGGGAGACCCAAGACTCAGCCAGTGTTAGTTCTAGTCATTCGTTCTAGTAATAACGGGTGCAAGAGTCCTTGAGTGCCTACTATGTGCCAAACATTATGCCTGCTTTATTGTATTTAATCCTTGAGGAAGCTCTGCAAATTAGGA